TTTGCCCTGTCTTGCCAGCCCCATTTCTAACATTTTTATTACATCTACTGATGTATGTGTGTATATTTGTATGTACACAAATCACTTGACACATGTGGAGGTCAAAGGACAGCCTGTGGGAGCTAATTCTCTCCTTTCACCATGTGGTCTCAGGATCAACCTCAGATCATTAGGGCTGGCAGCAGGTGTCTTTACCCCCTGAGCCATCCCAACAGCGCTTCTCTTCAGTCTTAGGCCCATGTGTATACATGCATAAAACAGAACGTGGTGTGATAGTGTGTAGTATAGTGTGTTGTTTACACGGAGGAAGTGTGGACTGGGGGTTTGTGATAGTTAATGATGATTGTCAACTTGGCACAAACTAGAGTCACCAGAGACAAGCATCTGAATGTGCCTGTGAATGGTCCCCTAGATGAAGTTAAGCGTAGCCTAATGTGGTGATACCATTTCATGGACTGGGTCCTACAATGGATAAAAAGGAGAAAGCAAGTATGTTTCTGTCTGCTTCCTGACTCTGGATGCAATGTGACCAGCTGCCTCAAGCTCCTATTGCTAGAACTTCCTTACCATGCTGGGCTGCGCCTGCTGTGAGCCAATATAAGCCCTTTCTCCTTTAAGTTGTATTTTGTCCCCGAAATGAGGCAAGTCACCAGTAGCACATGGACCTACCTCCCCAGCAGAACAGCCACCAGAAAGTCACACCCTGGAAACACTCCAGTGCAAATCCACAGGACCACACCCGTTCATACAGTGTTCCAGGAAGAGAGCCTCATTCCTTTGTTGTGAGATATTTTGATATCCAACTCAGACACTCCTGAGACTGATCGATAAGTTATACTTTCAATCAGGGGGCGGAGCCAGCGACTAGCTAGTGGAATTGGCCATAGAGAAGCCAGAAATTTGAATAGAGAAGACTCACAGGAAGAAAAGGTTAGGGAAGAGAGTTTGGGCTTCCTCTTCTTGGTTCTGGGATGAGGGAAAAGACATGTCTCTGGCCCAAAAGCAAGGTCAGCTAGTTGCTACTCAGCCTCTCTCTGAACTAGCAGATTTTCATCCTAGCCTTTGACTTGACTTCTGAGTTTTATTGATAAATTGAATGATAGAGATTTAATTTAAACCTACGTATCATGGTCGAGGCAGAGCTAGGGCAGAGGGACTGGAAGTCCCAGCCTTCGTGGCCCTTGGGGCACTGATTGAGGAGCCATGGGGTGACAGACAATAATTAAAATATCAGTAGATTCACAGGCAGCCGCTAAGCAGACAGAAAAAAACATCACTCCTTGTATTTACCTGACCTGGTTTCAATCTTTTGTACCTCTCAAGTCATTAACGCATTAGAAATGACCAAGCCTAGAAGATACATTACGGCCCATTTGACCAGGAAACTGAAGCCCCAAAATTGACAGTGACCACAGTTAAGTTGGTGGGAGGCAAGAAACTAAAAGTTCTGGCCTGGAGGCTTTTTGTCTTTGGTTTTTTCCTGAATGTAAGGCAACACGTGGAGAGGTAGGTGGAGGCAAGGGTCACATGTTGCTGAACAGTGAACTTTAGTCGCCAGGAAAAGAGCTGGTGATAACGTTGGGCCATTAAACTTGGATGATAGCTGGAAAGTTACAGTCTAGTGAAGCATGTGGAGACGCAGTTTTTTCAACTCAAAGTCCCCAGGATTGGGCAGTTTTGCAGGTTCTGGCTCTTTATCCTCCAGGCTACACTCAGAAGTGAGGAGCTGCCTTGCAGGCCAGCTTGGAGTCAAACTTCAGCTCTATGCTGTATGTAGGTAGATCATGGGAGAGCCCTTAACTCTTCTGGTCCTGTCTTTTCTTATCTGTAAGACTGAGTGATTATCATTAACTCTGTTGTTCTAGGAACACAAACCGTGTATGCATCTGATAACAAAGGCATTGAAATTATTTGTTTTCATGTGTGTGTACGTGTGCTTGCTGGAGTTCATGTAGCTCTCATGCATACAGTGCCCTCCAAGGCCAGAAAAGGGCATCAGATCCTCTAGAGCTAGAGTTACAGACGGCTGTGAGCTGCCAAGTAGGTGCTGGGGATTAAACCCAGGGCCTCTGCAAGAGCATTAAGTGCTGTTAACCACTGAGCCATCTCTACAGCCCCAGCCAAGACACTTTGGAGGCCCGGTCCCTAACCCAACTCCAGAAGTTCCGGCATCATCAGTGCCCTCTACTGACAGAGAAACACCATGGACTCCCTCACCTGAGATTTGACACCAGCATCGAAGTGACCATACACTCCTCAGGGCAACCCTAGGAGGTGGCTCTGCCATCTGAGAGCTATTGGTGGAGTTGGGGCAGAGGGAAGTGTGAGGGAGCCCTTTCTTTCTTAGCAGAAACAGGACATGAATACATGTTTCTTGCAAGACTCCAACAACATATTCACGTATCCGAGCAGAAGGCCTTCCTCCAGGCCCTCACAGCGGTTATCGCTCTGGCGCCCTGCTTCTATTAGGAGTGGCTCCCACATCCACAATCATCATCATAGTCGAATCTCTTGGAGGATAAAAACCTAAAAATAGAGTTGCTGAGCCACAATTATGAGCATGTAGCCATTTGCAATAGGGCTAGGAGCTGCCCAAGAGACTGCTAAAGGGTCCCAACGTACAGCGCATTTAATGTCCACTGGGGAGGGCGCCAGCTAATGACTTAGTGACCTGCCTCCATCTTCCCTTTCACCCAGCAAGTCTATCTCCTACCCTTCACCCACTGCACAGTGTCCACTTGAGACATCCGCTGATAAGAAAAGCCCATCTGTTGAGAGTGACCAGAGCAGCTGGCCTGACCTGTGGTTGTCTAGCAGTGCCTGGGGCTTCCAAGGAGAAGTAGCTTGGCTCTCACCCCTGCTGCTATTGTGTTTTTCAAACTCCAGAAGTTGGATGTGCTCGCCCAAGTGACACAAGGCACACAGTAGGTGTCGCTACAGACACACAGTCACCGGACACCTGGGTCCCAGGCTCTGAGAACCTGTAGACATCAGGCCAGCCTCTTCCATGGAGACTACTGACTGGTGGGGTACAGAATGTGGAATAGGATGTGGTACCACTAGTTACTTCCCAGAGGTCTGCTGCAAAGACCCCAGTGGTCCAGAGAGGTGGCCCTACCATAGCCAAGGCGGAGCGCTAGGCAGAGACCTGGGTGGGAATCCTGCTCCTGCTTGCTTAGCACTTCTGACTAAATGGTCCTACGTGAGTGCCCAGCTGTCTGAACCTAAGGGAGGAGCACAAGACTTGTGTGTGCAGTAAGGATGCTGGAATGAAGCAAAGGCCATGTCCATCCTGGCATTTAATGTAACCCAAAGCCAGGGACTCAATGACAGCTAACATCAGCAAAGCTCCTACTATGTGTCCTGTTGTTTCTACATTTAATCCGCAATAGACATTATTTTTAAATTTTTTAAAGATTTATTTATTATGTATACAGTATTCTGCGTGCATGTCTGCAGGCCAGAAGAGGGCACCAGATCCCATTACAGATGGTTGGGAGCCACCATGTGGTTGCTGGGAATTGAACTCAGGACCTCCGGAAGAGTTTTCAGTGCTCTTAACCTCTGAGCCATCTCTCCAGCCCCTATTTTTAATTTTTTGTATATTTATTATTATTTTATGAGTGTCTTGCCTGCATGTACATCTGTGCACCACATGGGTGTCTGGTGCCTGAGGAGGTGATGAGTCTTCATGTGGTTGCTGGGGAGTCAAGTCTGGGTTCTTTGCAGCAGCAAGTGCTCTTAACCATGTGTCAGCTCTCCAACCCCCACAGTAGATATTCTAGGAGCTCTATGAGTTCAAGGCCAGCCTGGTCTACATAGTGAGTTCAAGGACAGTCAGGGTTATATAATAAGACCCTGTATAGTGTGTGTGTGTGTGTGTGTGTGTGTGTGTGTGTGTGTGTGTGTGTGTGTGATTTATCTAGTTTTCACATTCACCTGTATGTTGTCTGTGTTATAGTATGTCAGTGCCATTTGGCACTCCAGTGGAGGTCAGAGGACAACTTTCAGGGGTCCTTCCATCACATGGGTCCTAGGGATGGAACTCAGGTCATCAGGTTAGTGGCAAATGACTTTACTGGCTGGGCCATCTCATTGGTCCCTGCAATTTCTTTCTTTTCTTTCGTTTTTTGTTTTGTTTTGTTTTTTGCTGTGTTTCCTTATATCAGGGGACAAGAATTATTATAGTTGTTTTTTCTTTTTTGGTTTTTCGAGTCAGGGTTTCTCTGTGGCTTTGGAGGCTGTCCTGGAACTAGCTCTTGTAGACCAGGATGGTCTCGAACTCACTGAGATCTGCCTGCCTCTGCCTCCCAAATTCCCAAGTGCTGGGATTAAAGGCATGAACCACCACCACCCGGCTAAAGTTGGTTTCTCAAGAAGAAAACTAGGACATCTCACCCTACCTACACACACACACACACACACACACACACACACACACACACACACACACACACACACACCACCATAGTTGGTTTTTCGAGAAGAAAACAAGGACATCTCCCCCTACAAGTACACACAAAACCACCACCACCACCACCACTGAGACAGAAAGGAAAAGCGACTTGCTCAACGTGGAAGACAAGACTGAGAGCCCCGGGGCATTCTTGGCGGCGAAAGGAAGCCCCAGGTAGGAAGGTGATTGGTCTGAAGT